TTACGATTACGACTACCACCCATATGATGTTGTTGTATTAGAAATGGTGATAAGGTTTCGGGTTTATCCGGTTCGGGATTGCGTACTTGTAGCATATGATAGCTGGCGTGTAAATCGTTGCACTGATATTTACCCTCGTGTACTTTAAGGGCATGACGCACAGCAATGTGAGCTTCAATTTTGTGCTTTTCACCTGGGAGAATGGTGAATGGGTTGTTTTTGTTTTTTGGGACGCCAAAAATTTTGTTTATTGGAGAATAGATTTAAAAAAGATATGCATTTTAAAAATGTTGGTATTTGTAAAAAAATACATTTCTGTAATAATGACAGCATAAATTTCTATTTCATTGGTATTTTTAAATTACTATTTATTTGAAATAGGGTCAGTAAGATCGCTGTACTGATCTTACTGAAATTTGATTTTTATTAGAAGTATTATGGATTGAATTGTACACACCAAGTCAAACAAAAAAGAATTTTGGAGTCTAAACCATCTATATGTTATGCATGAATCACCCTGTGTATTTATGGTAAACTTTCAAAGAACCTTTTTTAAAAGTCGTGTAATTTCAATACGACATAGAAAGATATTTAAAATAAAGTCATTCCTATTAATAATATAATAAATATTTACACTTAAGTCCCGCCTATTTAAGTATAATAATGTATAAAAAACCAAGTTCAAAATAAGACTATAGTTTTTTATTAATTCTTCATTATTATTTTTGTAGTTTTTGTTAACTTGTGATGTATAATTTTTCTTTCCGTCTATGCTAAACTGACGGTGTAAGAAATCTGTAGCTTCTCCCACAACTATTTCCCTGAAGATGACTGTCGAAGACAGTCGAAATATTGGAAAATAAAAAAGCAGAAATCAATATACTGAATTTTATTTAATGTTAATGAAACAAATCAAGTGTTTTATAACTAAAAAAAATGTTAGAATTTTAATACGATGTTTGGCAATTTACAACAATTTTAAGCCAAAGTTTATCAGTTTTTGAGCACAAGGCCATGTCATATGTAGTAGTTCCATTAATGTTTATATGAATCACCCAGTGTTTTATAACTTAAAAGCTGCAACCTATAAATATGATGTGTGGCAATGTTACATGGCGACATTTTAAGTCACAATGAGATAATACAAAACCGTATTAAATTGATATTTAATATTTTATTTAATACCTATTAGAGTACCGTTAAGACTCTTAAATGTTCAATGTTTTTTTTTTTTTTTTTTTTTGAAGTTTTGTCCCAGACTAATTAATTAAAATAATTTTATATAACCTTCAAATATAATGTTCTTTGGAAAAATGCTTGAACACTATATGGAATAGTAGTAATATAAAATGTGTGTTTTGAAAACTTTCTGATTTAATAGTTTGCTTCTCCTTGGATATGCTATTGTTGTCGTTTTGCACTAGAAGAAACTCACCCTCAATAGCACTTTCACTTAAGACATATGAATGTTCATCATGACCGTGTCGTAAATTGTGTAGTTTTATGGGTTCGCCATCCTTTAACCATCTTATTGGATCTGTTATGGGTATAATACATGTAATTGCAAAATGTTCACCCACATTAACCGTTGAATCACCATAGTAAATAGCTGTTTCAAATTCAAATTCTGTTGAATCTTCAACATCATTTACTATATATGTGTGTATAGGTTAGGTTACGGCCGGTAAAGGAGTATAGTTTCGTTGTTCGTTGCCATGGTAAATATATAGCATGTAGGAAAATTAGTTTTTTTCACAAGGGTCATCACCATCCATCCATTCATTCATTCACCACCGTGCCACACATAAACAATATTTATTCAATGTGGTAGTTGTTTTTTGTTGTTGTTGTTGAGGAAAAATTATTTAGTTTTTTGCCATTTGGTCAACACGAATTGCGTGTTTGGTGTAGTGTTTTTCACATCACAGATCATCATCATCATCACCATTGAATTTCATGTTGAAGTTAGAGGTCATGTATTTGTTCGATTTTAGATTTTATTGCAGCACCATTATTAGGGTTGCCAAATCAAAAATGTTTTTTGTTGTGTAGGAAATAAATTATTATTACAACGAAGTCGACGTTATATGTGATCGAACGAACGCAGTTGTAATTTGATGTCAGTTAGCAGTATAGTTGTAGTAGTAGTAATAGACAGAAATGACAGAGTTTTGCATGTTTTAAGATTCATATATTTATAGATTATGTACAACAATATATATATTTTGTCATGTCATTTGTATGTTGGTCCGATTGGTTTATAGTTTTTTTATTGTTAATTTTTAGAAATCAAAAAATTTATATTAAAAAAACAAAACCTTAAAAGGAAATTGGGAATAATTTCTGCAATAATAAAAAACAAACACACCCATTATAAATGACAAGGAAATTGTTAAAAGACCCGCTTTTTAAATGAAAATCTGAAATGGATTTCAATAAAATTCGTACAGGGTGATCCCTATGTTGCACACTTGACGCTGTATGGTGGTCATATCAACTTGGCAGCACTCTTTGTTTGTATTCAAATCAAGTGAACCTAATTAAAAGGCGTCGGCTTTGAAAGGAAATATGTTGATTTAAATCATGAAATCTTTCTAGAGATTGATAGAATTTTACACCCGAACTGGTAATTATTAGTATCTGATTTTTCATAGGATTTTCAATACAAATAAAGTAAAAACATGTTTTGAATAGGAAAATCGGTCACTAGTAATTGTGAGCATAAATTTGTATTCGTGCATTCATGTTTTTTTTTTGTAATTTTATAAGGTATATAAATGACGCAATTGAAATGAGCTGGGTTCTTGGATTGAATTGCCAAATAGCCCACCATTACTTCTGTAACCTTTTCATGTTAAATAATCTAAAGTTTGGAAATCACTCACTTTTTTCAGTGGACAGTGTTGGATATCACACAACCATGAGCAATAAATGACACATTCATTATCCACTCTCGTATATTATTCTGAAATCCAAAAATTGTAATTGCAACAGTGTAAAGACCACATATTTTACAAATCAGCTGATGTCATGTCTTACTCTGTAAAAAGCAAGTGAAAACTAATCTAAAAGCGTCTTATATAGAATAATGCGAAATGTGAACAACCCTTAAGTTGTATGACGTTTAGTGTACGTACATTGAAGGCTATTTTCAAAGCATTTTTAAATACAAGTAATACGTGAAAAAATATATCTGACAAAACAAATGTTATAAAGATTGTTTTATGTCAAATTAAAAAAAAAAAACATATTTTTCTTACAAAAACCATTTAAAATGAGGTGTGTGTGTTTTATTTCTTTACAATTGGATTCCCTTTTCGAAATGTATTAGTATTAGATATATGTATAGAAAAAATATTTGATTTCTAAAAACAAACAAAATACATATTTTGTGTCTTTCATTATATATAGATACACATTGATATATATTTTCTTTTAAACAAAAAAGTACATAGTATTATCATTATTATTATTTTTGCCACATAAAGGTAATAATAAAAAAAGGAAATGAACGAAATTGAAAACTCACAAATAATTACAGTGAAACGAACAAAAAAAAAGAGTAGAAAGAAAACACAAAAAGGAAATATTGCAAAATACCAACAAATAAAACTATTATAAAAGAACGAAAAAAAAACTAACAGAAAACACAACAACACAAAATTACATATTTTGTATTTATTTTACATTAAAAATGTTAATAAAAACAAATAAAATAAAAAAAAAATAATTGTCTATATAATGTCAGTGTTTGTGTATATATATTATGTATCAAACAAAATTGAAACTATAAAATAATTAACGGAACAGAACTATGGGTATCGGCATACAATTTTAATAAGTTTTTGTTAATAGGAATTTGAAAATTTTGTTAAAATGTACACTTGTATGTACTTTGCAAAAAAATAATTTCTGATCAAGTTGTTCACATTAGGAATTTTGTCTTATTTCAGCTCCAAGTTGAATGTAATTGAAAATCAAGGTACGTTTCTTTTAGCACATGAAATAAATGGAAATAGAAAAATATATAATATAAATAAAAAGAAGAGGATGAACTAAAAATAATTTAGAAAACTAAATGTACTTAAATAATAACTTTTTTGAAATAAAAACAAATAGAAATAAACTTTATAAATGACTTAGTATTAATATCAAAACTGCAGTGCATTTTTTTAGTATAATATATCCTTAAATCGTTCAAATACAATATGGCAACACTAAATATGGAAAGAGTAGTTCCTTCGCCTTAAAATATATAAAAAAGAAAAAAAAAACACATAATCAAACCACATACGTTAATATTCTTTCGTCAAAACCTTAGAGACTAATAAATCCACTCGATTTAAAATGTCAATTAAATAGCGCATGATTTTTTTACTCCTGTGATTTTTTTACTTATACGCTATGGAATAGACATTTGAGATCGAGTGGATTTCGTAAATCAAACCCACTTTTAAATGCTTAAATGAATCACGCTTAGAATGTGAAACTTCTTTAAAAACAGGGGGGTTCACAATGCGAAAAGTATAAATACAGGGTGAGATGAATAAACTGCAACCAACTTCAGACAACTGTCATTTCTAAGCCACTCGTCCGACAGCTGTTAAAATTATTCCAATGACAGCTCACTATATTGTTTACAATCGTACAAAAGCATTTCGTTCAGAATTTTCCAGAAAAAAAGTTATTTGTGATGGAATTCAAGCGTCATAGGTGATTTCTTTATATTTGGCTGGAAAACTACAAATGGCTATCGTTAGAGCACTCCAGCATTTAAATGTGAATATTTTTTTTTACTGGTAGCGTAGCCCGACGTCAAGGAATTGAACGGTAGAAAATAGCAACATCAGCAGAAATGGTTTGAAAAGTAAAGAAGCGGCTTGATTGAAACCCGCGTTGCAGTGGCCAAAAATTGGCTCGTGAGCTGAACATATCACAATATTCCATTTGGCACATATTGAAAAATAAGCTCGGGGTAAAGCTATTGAAATTTCAAAAAGTGCAAGAACTTACACCGCAACAGAAAGAAAATAGACTCAAAAGAGCTAAAGAGTTGCTTCGCTTGGACGGAAGCGGCGAATTGCCGAATTTGGTTTTCTCCGATGAGAAAACATTCGCTGTCCAGCAGTTTGTGAACAAACTAAATTATAGTGTTTACTTGCCAAAGAGGTCAGCTGAAAATGTGCACCTTCGGTTGGCCACCAGAACTCAAGTGCCGGTCATGGTGATGGTGTGGGCCGCCATAACAGCCTATGGTCACTCTCCGCTCAAATTAATCGACCGTGGCATCAGAATAAATGCCGAATATTATCGCGAAAATATTCTGGAGGGTGTATTAAAGCATTGGGCACGCAAACATTTTGGCCGCAGAACTTTGACTTTCCAACAGGACTCAGCACCATCTCAGGCTCCTCGCTTTATTTCCAGCGCACAATGGCCACCAAAATGTCCGGATACCAATCCGTTGGACTATTGTGTATGGATTATTTTGGAAAGCAAGGTTGGCACTAAAAAATACCAAAGTGTCGATAACCTCAAGCAAGCGCTTCGCCGGTAATGGGCCACAATACCACAGAGTAACATTGGGGCAGCGTGTGATGGCCATAATTCGTGCCAAAGGTGACCAATTCGAACAAATCTAAACTTATTCTAAAATTTGATGCTATTTCCGGCATTTTTTGCTTTATTACATTATTTAGACTACGTTTACATTAAATGTGTGTTATTGTGTATTATGGACGGAAAATGACAATTGGTAATAGCAAAGCTTGTAATATCCCTTCCATCATTCACTATATATATATATATATATAATCACTATCACTAAATTTGTTTATTTATTACTAATACTTGGCATATCATACAATGGGGTATCAACCATTAGTTTATTAGATTTACAAACAATTTATTTGCAAAAACAAATTGGTAATTACATCCGCGTTTCTTCTTTACTATCAATCAAGTAGCGAAAAATAAACATTATTTGTTCAAGTATTAGTGGCAATGTAAAAATAGAATAACTTTGACATATCAACCAATGTGATGCCACCTTAATTAGTTTTTACAAAATCAAAGGCAAAATACTATAATTCTTTATTTCTTGAATTAGCTACTAACGGAAATGGGTAATAAATTAGTTCTATCTCAAAGATAACACGCGTTACGTTACTATGCTTACTTATGTCTTAACATGAAATTTATTTAAACAAGAACTGCTTTTTGACGCAATAAATTTCATCATATTGCAGGTTAAGCTAAAAAAAGGAGAATTGGGACAAGTACATTGTATTTAATACCAAGCTGCTAAGATACATATTTTTTTCAAAAACGATTCTATTAAGTAGTATTCATAAATAACACAATATTATCTTTACAATGTCTAGATTATATATATTAGCAAATATACGTGTTGTTAATGATAAGATACGAATGCGATTGCTGTAGTAAACGTCAGTCAACAACACAGCATGTCAAAATGAGGTATATTGCGTTCTGATACTGCAGTAAAAATAATCATGTTGTTATATATTTTTTTATATAAACAAACTTGTTGCTGCTAATGTGTCAAACAATATATGATCATATAACACAAGGGAGGACGGTCGGAAATTACGCACGCACTTGTATTCAGAGGTTATTATTAAAATGTATATTTTAATAAATGTATATTTTAAGGAAAGCAAATCCAAATTTATTTTCTCATTAAGATATTGGAACAGGACCAATTATTTTAACTCAATATAAAGAAAATGACAACTTAAAGGTGATCAAATTATTATAAAACATGTTCCGTGTAATTGTGCCATAATAAACTTGCTCTCATTTTTACACTAAAATTGTGTAAACACGCCTATTTTAAGATAATGTCGTCATGTTAAGACATACACCCTTCACACATAGCAATCAAACTATTGAAAACCTAATTATACACTGTCTATGTTTTTTCTTTAAGATATTTGCAACAAAACCATTTATTTGACTTGAATATAAAGAAAATGACAACTTAAAGGGCATCAAATTATAATATATTATAAAACATTTTCTGCGTAATTGTGCCCTAATAAACTTACTCTCATTGTTACACTAAAATTGTGTAAACACGCCTATTTTAAGATAATGGTGTCATGTTAATTTATACACCCTTCACACGTAGCAGTCAAAACCTAATTTCAGGAATAAAAATAACATCTGCAAAAATTACAAAATATTGAAAGAAAATATTTCAATAATTTAAGTGTAGATAATTCGACATAGGCCAAAATTAAAAAAAGGATTACACATTTGTGTTTTTGGCATTATCTAATCAGAGAAAAACTACAACAAAACCAAACCACATAAATCTCTACAGAAATCTAAAAATAGATTTTACAAATGACTCGAAGAATGACACTGACAATGAAATAGAATACCCATAGCCATGTTATAAGCGTTGTCGTTGTCGTCGTCGTCATCATCAAATGATTAAAAATACACCACACAAGGCAAAACAACATCATCGAGAAATAGTTTTATTTAATATGACTGTTTGTTTGTTGGTTTGGTTTTGTGTATGTGTGTGTGTGTGCGGTTTGTTTTGTCGTCATCAGCAAATTTTTACAACAAACAAATTATTTTAATTTACATGAGGTGTGACACAAAGAGTAAAACAAAACAAAAAACGTACATACATATATAGATGACAGACAAACAAACAAAAAGTTTGCACGCAAATATACCTTCGTAAAAACAAATACATAAAGTTTATATTTTGCTAGTGTGGATTTGTTGTATGTCAAATAGGGATACTAATTTGTCAAAATGTAATCCAAGAAAAAAAATTAAACTGCTACATCATCAACAAATTGGGGGGATGGGGGTGAAATTATCCAGCTAATTGTATGGTCATCTGGCAATAATGGGGAACTTGTATACCCTACACTATTATGTAGGTTTTACTAGTCTGAAAAAGAGGACTTCTTTTTTTTTTGTAAAATAAAAAGGGAGAAAAACGTCCAAAATAAAAATATAAATTGACATTTCATACAAAGCCAACTTAACAAGCCATGACTGCCAAGCTCCTCCCTCTAAACACTGATATTCCTTTTTAATTAGGCATTTAATAGAAGCAACTTAAAGAAGCTTGCCTGAAACATTCAGGGTAGGGATAAGTAAATCGAATTTCGACTAATCGACTTTTTGTATTGAAAAGTCTTAAGGGCTAAGCAGAATGTTGGCGTTGAGCCACCCGTTGCGTTATGTGTTATCGAAAATACAACAACCACAAGGAAACGTTAACACAAACGCTCGAAGTTGATGTGCGCTGCGCTTCGGAGTTAAATATATTTTTACTTTTTGCGTGCGTTAACGCGATAAGAAAAAACGCTCAACGCGAACATTCTGTTTAGCCCTTTAAAGTCGAAATCGACTTTTGATGAGGAAATCGTAAAGTCGACTTTCAATTTTATTCATAAATACTTGGTTTATTATCACAAAGACCAAATTGTCAAAAATTACAGATTTCAGAACTTTATTGTATTGGTTGAATAACAAAATCAAACTCGAGTCAATTTTGCATTAGCCAATAAAAGACGAAATCGATTTTGAACAAGTTTGACAAAGTCGAAAGATCGAAAAGTCGACTTTTTAGTTAAAGCCAAAAATCGAAAAAGTCTAAAAATTTTAGCCAGAGGCAAAAATCAAAAAGTTTAGAAGTCGTCTTTTGTGCTCGACTACGAATCCCTAATTCAGGGTATATACAGGCATCTTGGGTATATTTTTTGTTCATACCTATTTTAATAGAGCATGCCATTTAGATTGTCAATTTCCCTTTATCTTCGTAATACGCGTGACAAAATAAACATTTGAGCGTTCTTGTCAACTGAAAATCCATTTTCAAATCACATTATCAATAAACTGAAACAGATCAGCTGTTTTAGGATATTGATGAAAACGAACAAAAAATGTTTTAATTTCTAAGAGATTATGAAGTTTAATTTATTTTTTCACGTTTTCAGTTACATGTTATGAAAACAAATGTCAAATAAATACCACTAAGTGTTGTGTATATATTTTTTTATAAATGAACGTAACATCCTACCTTGTATCATTGTTGGCAATTCTATTTTTTTCCTATTCTTTTATACAGTACATTTTGTTTGATCATATATATAAATATAGTATAAACTCGGAAATATCCAAACACAATGAAAATAGTGTCTAAATATTCATCATATTTATCTTGTTGCTAATCTCAAAATATTGCAATTTATATGTATATAAAAGCAAATACCAGGGATTTTAAAATGCTGAACAAATAAACATATTTTGTGTGTATGAATGAACAAAAATATCTTGTTGTTTTAAAAAATCAAAACAAATATTTAATATTCTGATAAAATACAGTGTGCAGCTAAAATGTTTTTACATCTGATTGTTTAGAATTCATATTACAATCGACTTTTTATTTTATAAATTTTTTATGCCGACTTTGGTCCCTGGAATGACAATACCACTTTGTTTTTGCGTCAAAATGGCAAAGCTTTTAATTAGTTTAAAAAAAGTCCAGTAACATTAGTCCACTATAATTATAAAATATACACATTTACATTTAATATTTCGTAAACCACGTAAACAAATATCAGGTGAGTAATTAAACATCTTGGATTTTGTTTAACAATTCACAAATATGGTCGATTTAGACGGCAAAGTCTAAACGCGCAATAATTTTTAATCTTCAACGAGAAATTCAAGCAAGAAATGCTAATTCAGTTCCGGATTTAATTCTATTATTTTTATGGTAACAAAATATTTTGCCGCTACACGGCTATGTATTTTGTGATACACTGTTATATATATATATATATATGAGACCGAATAACTGGATGAGTGCATGCATCTTCTGCTGTTTAGTTAATAAACCTCGTGATATTTACTCCTACAGTTTTTAATTTGTTCACACATCTTTGTTTTTGTTGTTCACCACCAGGCACAAACATTACATACATATTATTAATAATATCTATTTGGAACAACAAAAGCCGCAGCAGCAGCAAAAATGCCGCTATCTTTGTTTGTTTACACAAAATGGAAATTATTATATGGTATTTAAAAGATAAATATTTATATTTTACTCATAACAAATATATGTATGTGTAATATATGGACATTATGTCAATGCTGATATGGTCATGTCGGAGAAATTATCAATCATATGTCAAAATCATCAAAACAACTTGCCCTATTTTTTTTAAGAAATTGAGAATTACATTGGAAATTTTTTTTGAAGAAAAACTCAGCCAGATTTGAAATGTAAAAAAATTTTGTTTTGTGTATATCCATTTCGAAGGACCAAATATAAAAATTGAAGATTGACAGGACTTTTTGTAGTAAGTGGTTGTAAGACATTGAAGTTATCCTGTTGACATTTGACTCAATCTAATATCATGTATGTAAACGTTGTATAAAAAATTCTGGTTAATACCATCCATTTAGAGCAGCTGATGACTCGATTAACTGTCAAAGTGCGTAATTTCTACATGAATTCGATGTGCAGTGTTGCCAACCATGTGAAATATTATAAGGAAAATATTGACAGATGATGCATACCTTATTATTACATTATGATACAGTCATTCCATTATAGACACAATGCCATGCCAAAGGCATTCTTTATTTGGACGCAAAATTACGTCCGACATTAGGTGGTGCAA